CATTGCTGCGTGGTAATCGCCCTTTGCCAACTTAGCCTGCCACAGAAACTCTGCTGTCTCCTCATCTTCCATTTCCTTCTTGCCGCTACCCGTTTCCTTGAACCAGCCCTCTTCGATCGGTAACCCATCACAAAGCTTAGCCAACGGCCCCCACTTCGTGATTGCATGCACCATGATCATGCGCAAGCCCTTCCCCGTTGTGCGACCAATCCCATCCTGCACAACTCCATCGTCGTCCGAAGGAAAGTAAGAATAGGGGGAACCATGAGCCTGGTGGACAAAACTCTCATCCATGTACACGATCACTGCTAACCCAGCATCCTCTGCCCTCTTTGCCATGACCATCTCAACAAGAAACCGACGAATGCGAGCAAGTCTTTCGGCGTTTAACGGTGGCGTTTTGATCCTGCCTCTACGACGCTTGTAGCCGAGCCTACTCAGCAGCCCTCCTGCCGAACGGTTGGACGGCTGCTCCATGTTGCAAGTCCTGTGCATCCATTCTGCCACCGTGCGGCGAGAGACTTGACGACCGGCCTGGTGCTCGTCATTGATGAACTCGCGAAGTTGATCTTCTTGTACTTCGGTGAGGCGGCGTCGCCCATCATCCTTCTTTGCCGTCTTGCCTCTCCCCACGGCGGTGGTCTCGTACAACTGGCGGTGATCCCACCAGTGGTTGTTGATGCGTCTGACCTTGTCGTGGCCGATCTTGAAAGTGCGCGCAACCTGCCAGCATAGAGAGGTCCAGAGAAGAGAAAATATTGCAACATCGTTTATGAATAAGGTCAGTTCACTTGGACATTGCACAGAGACATCGCACATGCAAGCCTGCTCAGGTGGTGTAAAAAACTGCTGTAAAGAACTGCTGTACAACAGTACAATGTATTCCTGCTGAATATTTGTGTGACGTAGACAGGTGAGTCAACCGTGTAACGAACGGCAAAGGCTCGCGCCCGACATAAATGCAACGAAAACACACACACCACACATGAACATACTGCTGTTGGCAGCAAAAATAGGGTGTACAGCACATTCCGGAGTAAAGATTCAAAAATAAACCGTTACCCCTCTTTGATCAAGATGAATATTTAAAAAAGACATCGGCCTGCTGCTGTGCCACACCATCCGACCTTCACTGCTGTGTACTGACCTTCAACACCGCCTCCTTCTCAGAGCAACCTCCCTTGCGGAGGTCGAAGAGTAGCATGAGGACCATCCTTGACTGCAACTGGGTCCAGACCTCGCCCTTCTTCGGCTTCACCTCGTGCACAGATGTGTCCATGTAGTCCAGGCCCTGAGCAACCTTCTCCGCCGCAGCAGCAGCTGCTGCTTGGACGCGCTCAACCTCCTGCTGCTCACGCTTTTCCCGCTGTGCAGCGGCGCGCGCCATTTCTTGCTCCTTCTTGGCGAACGCAGCCTCCTTCGCTCTGAGCGCTTGCTCCCTCTGCGCCATCTCTGCTCTGTCCGCCGCGAGCGCTGCACGTTGCTGCTCGAGCTCAGCTTGGAGTCTCTCCTAGGCCAACGGACCTCTCGCTGCTGCTGTTTTGGCTCTCTTGTCCGACTTGGAAGGGCGTCCAACTACACCATCAGTTGGCTTCCTCCTGCCCTTCGGCTTCGCCATCGGCCGATAGCTGACAGGCCCCTCTTTGAGCGTGCAGTACTCGACAACGGCTGCGTTGTGTCCAACGCTGGTCTGCTGTGCGCGTGCGCGAAATCATAGGGTTTCCAAAAGTTCTACATGCATGGCTAATTCGCATCCGTTCTGTTTTTTTTTTTCCAGGCCCGCACGAAAAAGTAGTGAAAAAGTACCCTATATTCGCCGGCAACTGCTGTACCTTATGGTTGTCTGATGAGAGCAAGACCCGGCTCATTTGAAAGCTGTGGTTTCTTTGTTTCATTTGATGTGTGGTAGGTCTGCTAACCGTGCTGTATNTTGAGCGTGCAGTACTCGACAACGGCTGCGTTGTGTCCAACGCTGGTCTGCTGTGCGCGTGCGCGAAATCATAGGGTTTCCAAAAGTTCTACATGCATGGCTAATTCGCATCCGTTCTGTTTTTTTTTTCCAGGCCCGCACGAAAAAGTAGTGAAAAAGTACCCTATATTCGCCGGCAACTGCTGTACCTTATGGTTGTCTGATGAGAGCAAGACCCGGCTCATTTGAAAGCTGTGGTTTCTTTGTTTCATTTGATGTGTGGTAGGTCTGCTAACCGTGCTGTATATTTCGTATAAAGCCTCTGGGCAGTAGTGCTTGTTTCCAGCTGTCCAAGAATATTTTTTAACACTGCTTGAGAGAAAAAAATACTGTCGCCAAAAAAAGCAAAAAATTGCTCCCACTAATTATATGCTACCGTAATAGGTAGATCGCCCCCGATCGTAGATCTCATGACTTGAGAGCCAATCACGCCAAGTGTAAAGTGTGAAGGCTACACTCGACGCTCTCTCTCTCTCCGCCATGGCGGCATCTGCACGCATGGTGAGCTCGCGCTCGGGCCCGAAGAAGCACCCAGTTGTTATTGACCTCGGCAGGTGAGATGGTTTGCAGAAGTGTTGTCCTGAAGCACCAGCAGCTGCAGCAAAGTGCGGCGTGTCTTGCACGTTTCTTCACGCAGCATCAGCGTGCGGGAAACTTTGAATATCAGGTGGCGCGGGAGGCACGAATGATATTGCCCGAGGACCACAGACATAAAATCCGGCGAAAAGATGTGTGCCCTTGAGATTTTGCGGGGAGTTGATGCGTCGCCTCTGCACACAGCACAGAATCAAGTGCAACGCAACCAAATGTCAAACGGCAAGAGGTTGTCGTCCCCACGGCTGGCAGTCAGTGCTTACTTCGGGAGCATGCGCTGGCGATGGCACGCCCATACTTGCTACCGCATGGTCATGCGGCTACTATTATAGACCTGTTGCAGTAACACACGGCTCAACTCGTTGTAGATAGCTTTGTCCTGTTGGCAGCAGTGAGCGCGCCGGGTGTGCCCTTGTTGTTCCCGCCGACACTAGGACTCACAAGAAGCAGGTTTCCGATGTGCTTCTAAGATCCGACACCTCGTGGACCGATTTTCATAGCTCAATTACTCCACGACGAAGAGGATGCATGAATGAAAAGATGCGTTCTCGGAAAGCTCTCGACGAGAGGGCTCCAACACCGCCGTTGTGAGGCACCGCCACTCTGCTGTGAGGAGAAAGCGAGCTTTGGAAATCGGTCCACGGGGTGTGATATCTCACGTCATGGCATCTACGGCAAAGTCCTGCTGGTGATTGACGCAGCAAGGTGCAAACATATAGTCGCCTTCGAGCCGCACGCTGTTGCAATCACCTGGAACATACACAAGACCCCTGCCACCTCCTTTCTTCCGCCGACCTCGATCAAGGTCTCGGTCCACCCAACCATTTCGGCCTATGCATCATCATATTTTTCGAACGGAAGAGGAGCATTTTCACCACCCCGATTGTGACAGAGTAGGTCTCGAAACCTACGTTGTAGCCGTCAACTTATGGACACGAACTGTAGTGCAAGTCGTTGTGGTAGCCCGAGGTATCTTACCGGATGTGTCATGCGTTTTATCTCGGCGTCAACACACCGATGAGGATACAAGCAGTGATGCCGTGCCGAACCCGCCCGTCCTCGGAGGCACCGTGACCGCAACAGGGGGCTCCGCAGAATCGTGAAAATCCTGAACGAATCCGAGTCGACTCCCGCATTTTTTCCCCACTATCCTGTCGCTCCATACCTCCGTAGATGCACAGCGTTTCCAT